GTGTGTGTGTGTGTGCGTGTCCAGCAAGCGAGGGTCCTCCTTCAGAAGTGGATGGGTGGTGTTCGACAGTGGGTTAGGAGTGTCTGTAATTTCATGTGCTTCAGCTCGTCACAAAACAACCTCAGGACGTGTGTTTGAAGTTTATTATGCTCAGTCTCAACAACCTCCACAGCGACTTGTTTTCTTTTTTTAAATTCTGATTTGTTTCTTTTTAATAAACTTCTGTATTCTGTAAAAGGGATTTTGTAGATTCTTTTTGTCTTTGTGCTTTTTCTGTGTTTATAGTAGTTTCACATGCAACCTGCTGCTGGTTTTATCCACTAAACTTGAGTAGAAACAGACAAGTCTGTTGCCTCTGGGTGATTTGTCCATACACAGATAAAACTATTTATTTTATATAATCAATCTGCTCCTTTCATAGAAAACAACAGTGGTGTTACTTGTAAGAGTGAGGGGTTTATTATAAACAAGACGAGCAGTGAAGATTAAAAAAAGTTAATGGTTGGAGTTCAAACTAAGCAGCTGTTCCTCACATGTTAACACATTAATACTGACAAGAAGTGTAGCTTTAATATGAACACTGAGGCAACACGTAATGAAGGACAACTGACTGTGTTTTCTGTGCAAGTTAAATGTTTTAAATGTGAACAGGAAGTCCAGATCTGTCCTGACCCGCTCAGTAAATTCCATCAAAATTATCAAGCCAATAAAAGTCACTCATGGGTTGTTTTTTTTTTTAGACAAATCACAAAGCAAAACCCTCTGAAGCCACATCTGGACTCCTCTGGGATGTTCTGAAAGCAAATAAACTAATAACTAACTTAAATTAACTACTTCTCCATTCCCTATAAACCTTTTACAATTCTCAATAGACAGTATAGTTTACATACTTTGATATTTAATTAAATATTTGTTAAATTTTACTGACAGAACTTCTTTATTTCTTAAACAAAAATAAAATAATGAGTTTTTATAGATCTTTTTCCCCTCCATCTTGCTTCATTAAGTGCAGGAATAGAGCTTTTTCAAGGTCTGGATTAGTTTATCTGTGGTGATAAATTAATTAGGTCAATTTAATTTGCACTATCTAGAGTTACTGACATGTGTGACTGCAGATATTCATGTTTGTTTTTTTTAAATCCAGTCTAATTGCACAGTGAACATGGGTTTGCTAAGTAGGGCTCTGATTTCACCTCACTTCATTTATTAGATTAAATATTTTTGAGCGTTCCTCTGCAGCACATTTCAATCAATCACAGTGTAAGTGCTTTTAGGGTTGGAGAAATTAATTTAAAACAATAAAATGGGAAAAGATCATTTAAATAGTTAAGATTGATTAAACCAGAGAGGAATACAAATGAGAAAATCCCGTTATTACAAGTGATCAATCAAAGTTGCAGCAGATTATGGTGCATTACAGTACAGAGCACAGTTGGAGGTGAACATACTTCAGATGTTTAATCAGTTTAAGAACAAATGAATGTGAGATTTGTTGTTATAAACTGGATATGACAGGTAATGGCACTGATTGTCATTTGGCCTCGCTGATAACCAAATAAAGCGGTGACTATCTGCCTTTTCCATCAGTGATATCTGAACTTCTCTTATGTGGAGCTCAGTTGTCGTTACACCGTCGCACTGCTCGCAGTAAATAGCAGAGATTAAACAAGGCTGTTAATTGTGTTTTCCGCTCGGAGGAACCGCAGGCTCGGGGGGGCAGCGGGGCCGCGGGGCCGCGGCTCGGTGCTCCTTCCTCGGTCTGTGTGTGTGTCCGCACTGGGGAGGCGATCACAGACTTTATTATTTTCGGCTGTCTGAACCTCCTCCTCCTCCTCCTCCTCCTCCTCCTCCTCGAGCCCCAGTTTCTTTTGTGCTCCTTCCCAACGCCTCGCGGGGCTGCTGCTCGGCCGCGCGCACACAACACACGCACGCGGGTCTGCAGAATCCACGCAGCTCCTCGAGGGGGTCGCGGTGACTGAGAGCCCCCACCCCCCCGCCTCTCTCTCTCTCTCTCTCTCTCTCTTCCCTCTTCTCTCCCTCGCTCCCTCTCTCCCCCCCGGCTCCTCCTGCGCCCGCCCCGGCACCGATTGTTGACAAAAGACGCTGAGAGACGGAGCGAAGGAGCCCAGACTCCGGTACTGGTGAGCAGATCTGCCCGGTAACTTCTAACAGTTTTGAGGAGATCGGGACAACGGGGAGTTTTTTTTGGGGGGGTGGTGTGGGGACGAGGACTCTTCCGTTCCTAGAAAACCGTGAGTCACAACGGGCTGCTTTGTGTCCGGATTGCATGTAGCCAAACGTTAGCCGTAGTACCACTGCGGGGTCGGTCCCCTCCTCCCCACCTCCCCACCTCCCCCGTGTGATCCGGTATCATATGATGCTCATTTCTGTCTGTAGCCTGGGGCACATTATGACAGCTTTCCGTCTCTCTT